GAAGTGCTGGTTCGCGAGAAGCATCATCATAAGGAATGAATCTGTATTGAAACCCTAGACAAGATTCAAGAACGGAAGAACAAGAAGACAGAAATTAACAACAACTGAACAAGAACAGAGAAAGTCAAGGCACATGCTGAATACACAGGAGTAAGAAAGAGGGCGTACAGGAGCATTAGAACTGGCAAGCAGAAATACGTGGAAGACCTAGCAGCGACAGTAGAAAAAGCTGCAACAGAAAGAAATATCAAACAATTATATTACATAACGAAGAAACTGGCAGGGAAATATAGGAAACCTGAGAGGTTATTCAAAGACAAGGAAGGTAAGCCAGTCACTGAGATTCATTAATAGAGGAACAGGTGAGTAGAACACTTTGAAGAACTCTCAAATAGACCAGTCCCTCTCCTGAAGCCAATGGACATCGAAACAGCACACAAAAGCCTTTTTACACGTATTGCTTTACTAAAAATTGAAGAAATTCGCAAAGCCATCAGACAAATGAAGAGTGGGAAAGACGTACGACAAAACAGTATACTACCTGAAGCACTGAAGTCAGACATAGAAGTGACTGTAAGCATGTTCCACGTTCTGGTTAAGAAGATTTGGGGGGAAGAACAAGTACCGACAGACTGAAAAGAAGGATATCTCATCAAGATAGCAAAGAAAAGGGGTCTCAGTGTGAGAACTACACAGACATCACTCTACTAACTGTACCAAGAAGAGTTTTCAACAGAAAGCTGTTAAACCAAATGAAATATTCAGAAGACGACTCGATTCGAGGACAGCAGACCAGATTCCGTAAGGATCGGTCATCATCATCTTTGAACAATCGATTGAGTGGAATTCGTCACTATACATCAACTTCATTGACTATAGGAAAGCATTTGACAGTGTGAATAGTAGAACCCCATGGAACCTTGTTCGACACCATGTCGCGCTTGAGAAGATCGTCAATATCGTCCGGAGTTCATACGACGGCCTACATTGCAAAGTCGTCCATGGAGGATAGCTGACAGAAGCATTCCAAGTGAGGACCAGTGTCAAACAAGACTGCTTACTCTCTCCCGTTCTCTTTCTTCTGTTGGTTGACTAGATTATGAAGACCTCCACATCTGAGGAGAAGCACTGAATAAAATTGACAGCTTGCATGCAACTAGACGATTTGCACTTCGATGGTGACCACACTCTTCTATCCCATACACACCAACAAATGCAGATGAAGACAACTAGTGTAGCAGCAGCCTCTGCATTAGTAGGCCTCAACATACACAAGGGAAAAAGCAAGATCCTCAAATACAACACGGGGAACACCAACCCAATCACACTTGATGGAAAGGAAGATGCAGAAACGCTCACGTATCTGGGCAGAATCATTGATGAACAAGGAGGATCCGATGCAGAAATAAAGGCAGGGAATGGCAAACCAAGGGCAACATTCCTACAATCGAAGAACATGTGGAACCCAAAACAACTGTCAACCAATATCCAAGTCAGAATCTTCAATACGAACATCAAGACAGTACAACTGTACGGAGCTGAAACTTCGAGAACTACCACGACCATCATCGAAAAAGGCACAAATATTTACGAACAATTGTCTATACAAGATACTTAATGTTCATAGGCCGGATACCATTAACAACAACCTACTGTGGGAGAGAACAAACCAGCTTCCAACTGAAGAAGAAATTAGGAAAAGACTCTGGCAGTGGATAGGACATATATTACGGAAATCACCAGATTGCATCACGAGGCAAGAACTAACTTGGAATCCTGAATGCAAAAGTATAAGAAGAAGACCAGTGAACATACTGCGACGGGAATATGAGGCAGACATCAAAAGAATTAACAGCAACTCGACAGAACTGGAAAGGATTCTCGAGGACAGAGTTCGATGGGAAATCCTGGTGGATGACCTATGCTCCACCACGAAGGATAACAGGAGTAAGTATCCGTGAAGTGAGTGACCCGCAGGATTGAGGTATTTACATAATTTGATCACTGAATAGTAACCAGCTTCATCGTTGTATAGTTCTTATTGCAGTTCGAATTCAATCTACTTGTTGCTTACTTGAAAATGTATATACCACTCGTTGTGGTTACAACACAGTAATTTGATCTTAATCTTGATCCTATTAACCAGTAGAATAAAAGACTACTGAATTTTTTGAAACTTTGCCATTAGTTTGTTATTTTCTGTGTTATTAGAAAATCTATAGACTATTTATGTCAAAATTTGTTGAAAAGTATTCAGTGAAAACTGGGAATATATATTACTTTGACTTTCAGCCGAAAAGTTTGGTCTTTTCACCCTAAGAAAATTAATCAGAATTCAGTTATCTTTTAATTTGATTATATTCCTAATAGTTCTAAACCATTTCATTTTAATTGCCAAGATTCTAACATATAATTTCTATTTACAATGCCTCAAAGTTTTTTATAGATTCGTTAGATGGCTTCCTAAACTATGTACTCTCAGGGAGATCATATTTAGATGTGAACAATAAATAATTCTGCTATACTGGATCAACTCCTCCCTATTTCCATAAACCATAAGTGATTGGATGAAGTTTTATGATAAACTTATTATATTCTGAAAACGCTTATATCCTATTCACTACAAAATCAGGTTATTAAGCTAACATTCCAAGGGCCATTAGGCTCCGAAATTCACATATTTATCAAATATCATCCCTTAAATTCTACTCATATATCATTGAAGAATTTTCTCAGGAACTCTATGTGAACTACTGAATATCTCTTAGATATTTCCTAAACAAGTTTGTACCTTATTAATTAGTCCCATTAATAATTCAAGTTAAACATCTGCTTTGTGGATCCAATGTACTTTAGATTGAGCGTAAGAACTCTTAAGTTCGAGGAAATAATTTGGACTCTTTATCTAGGACTTAGTTGCTATTAATAGCAAGTAAGACTACCAGTCAGAAAACCCTGACTAAGAAATATATTTCTTGTTACAGAAAATACATGTGAATCATCGATTTACATACCAATTAAACGAGTTCACATAATTGTCCTATTTCTTGATTATCCAGTCATCAGGCAAAATGTTATGAACTTAGGTTTTATGATTTGGGACACATACGGGAAGAGTCTATGTTCAACTTTAAATAGATAAATTCTCTAAACCAATCAACGAGAAGAACAAGACTCAAACAATAGAAAAGCAACTGATTGAAGTCCTTAAGATGATGAAAAATGATCAGTCAATTAACGAACAGATTCTTGAGCGCATAAAACCAACAGGATTAATAATACCACGACTATATGGTTTGTCTAAAATACACAAACCTGACCTACCCGTACAACCAATTCCTGATTTTTCCGGATCCCCTTACCACTCCATAGGAAAGTGGCTGGCAGATTTCCTAGAACCCTCAAGAAAACGCATTTGTATACGCTCCGTACATGACACTTCTGGATTCATTGACCACATTAAAAAGTGAATGTAAATGACAAAATAAACCTTTCTCTTGATGTCGAATTACTATTTACTGATGTTCTATTCACAGAGACCAGTTTTATTTGCAAATACATAAAAAATTGTGAGATTAATACCAGAATACCAAAAGCTTATTAAAAGGAACTACTACTGTGTTGCACTTGCAATGTACAGTTTACATTGAACGATAAATTCATAGGCAAAAGGATGGCATAGCAATGAGATCTCCTCTTGGTTCATTACTAGCAGATTGTTTCATAGACAGTCTAGAAAACAACCGACTTAAAATAACTATCGACAACTTCCACTTGCATAAAAGGTACGCGGTTGATATTTTTATCATCTGTGACAACAAATATGATTTAAGTCATCTTCTAAAGACATTTAATAACTGTCACCCACCAATGAATTTCACACTTGAAGTTTAAAACAAACAAAATATTCACTTTCTTGATATGGAAATGACGAGAAAACAAGATGGAATTCTAAAAAGATCTATCTACACAAAGTCCTTGTAGAGTAGCCAACTATCAAGTTTCCACAGATGAGTTCTCATTAGTCGAAAGCGAAACCTAATAACATCACTCGCTACGTGAATACAAATTTGTAGTCCCGAGGTCATAGATGATGAATTCAGCCTCTTGAACGAAATATGATATGACGGGAAGAAAAGTCAAGATTCGATTAATTTACTCATCATGAGTTTTGTTCAAAGTTACTTCCGTTTTGATTCAATGTGATGATCATTCTTTTCTCGTATGATATTTTATTCTGTACGATATTCTTGTATTTAATTAACATGAACTATGCTCAGTATATGATTTGTTATAACTAATTATTTTTCATAAATGTGATTTCATTCTAATTATTAATCAAAATGGGTGTACAATCAATATATAAATGAGTGTATTTTCGACTAGAGTCATCGTATTTTGGGATTAATAAATCTTCAATTATACCAGTCTTTGTGTTCTTACTTTCGCGTCGTAGGAATTACAGAGGTCTCGCGGTTCAAGTATAAGTGATAAGCGTTTCTGGCACAATAATTAGCAACGACCAGATATAACAAGTAGCATTCAAACAACAAGACATATCAAAATACTTTTCGAAAACGGGTATCCTTCGAAATTTATTGACAAGAACTTAAAACCTAAACCGCCTAAAGCACAAATAACCTTTGTCGAGAAGAAAACACTCTACATGAAAATCGATTTTAAGGGTGATAGAACTACAAACATCCTAAAGAGGCGAATTTCCGATTCTTTATAAAAGAACGCTCCTCGCGGCAACGTTGCAAATAGTGTTCCCCAGCCGATCATTGTTCTTCAGTTATCTTAAAAGTAGTCTCGTCTGACGAACTCTATATACATCTGGCAACTTACCTCCCCACGAAAAGCTAGGTATATTAGTCATTCTGTAATACACGAACACTCAGACGGGGATAATGCAGCGCGCTTTAATATGAAATTATGGAATGCTTTTGGTAAAATATGAGAACCATACATTAATTACTTCATTTGCAAATTTCCCTCACTTGTCATCCATATCCTGTAAGATTCTTCCGATTCACAATTCCTTTCTAATTCCGCTTCTGTTTTCTTCAAGTCGACCTTCATTGCCTCCTGTTGCCAGGTTTTCCACTTTTGATTGGTGTTACATACTACTTGTGTCTGTCAATCTAAGTAGCATACACCGCAGTTCGAGCATATTTTATTCAAAGGAATTCAACAACATTATCCTGAGTGGATAAAAGGAGGCGGAAACGACTCAATAAGAAGCTTATTAATTGAACACCTTGTGAACACAGGTCACTCAATTAAAGCAATCAAAGACAATTAGATTGCATCCTCTTAACAGTGCCGCAGCAATAGCTATACATCTGGGAAAACCAGAACTGTGTGTGCAAAAGAGACTGGTACAACCTCTTCTTTTACCATAGTCTTAATGTGTCATCATTTTCTTTCTTCTTCACACTTTACTTCCTCTACAAACATCTGCTTCCCCTTCCATCTTCTCCATATATATATATATATATATGCGATTGTACAACTTTGAAAATGAATTCACCAAAAAGAGAACTCTTCGCTGAACCAATCTTCCTTATTTTAATAGTATTTTCTTCTAGGAACCGAAACCTCATATTTCAGCTTAACAGTTAACATCTATTTGGATTCAACTTCGCCTAAACCGCTGCAGAACAAAGTATATATCAAAATCAATCATAAGACATCAGATATTTTATGCTTTGGTTATCATCGATTTTTACATTCGTTGGTTAAATAGTAGTCTGATTCTTATAATAACACAACTAGATAACGACTCTCTACACTTACTATGCATATATATATATATATATATATATATATATATATATATATATATATATAAGCGTATGGCGCGGAAACCTGGAAAACTACGAAATCCATAGTCCAAAAGATACAGGTGTTTATTAACAGTTGTCTACGCAAAATACTTCAGATCCGCTGGCCGGACACTATAAGCAACAACCTACTGTGGGAGAGAACAAATCAGATCCCAGTGGAGGAAGAAATCAGGAAGAAGCGCTGGAAGTGGATAGGACACACATTGAGGAAAACACCCAACTGCGTCACAAGACAAGCCCTCATATGGAATCCTCAAGGTCGAAGGAGGAGAGGAAGACCAAAGAATACATTACGCCGGGAAATGGAGATATATATGAGAAAAATGAACAAGAATTGGATGGAACTAGAAAAGAAGGCCCAGGACAGAGTGGTTTGGAGAATGCTGGTCGGCGGCCTATGCTCCATTGGGAGTAACAGGCGTAAGTAAGTAAGTAAGTAATATATATATATATATATATATATATATATATATATATATATAGAGAGAGAGAGAGAGAGATTTCCTTGACCTAACGACAAACAAATTTAAGACTAATTTATTATTGAAATAATTATTATATTTCAAAACAACTCACCTTAGTAAATATGAAATATGCGTTTGTTTATTCCACATAATAATAATAATAATAATAATAACAATTGGATTTTACAAGAATAAATCCATTCTAAAACTATTTATATATAAATATAAATATTAAACGAAAAATAGAAATATATCAGACAACATTTCTGATGAGATTATTTTCAGGTTTTACAATATTGTATTTTTTTAATGCATCAGGTATTAATTAATTATTCCTAAGACTCACGAATTCAATTTACGCTGTTCATTTAGCTTCCAATATGCATCCATAAATTTTGTCATTTCACAAGCAACTTTAGGACGATAAAACCTTGGATCACTCCTGTCTATTTCCATCTAAAACAACAACAATAACGACAACATAAATAAATAAATAAAAACCACATGTGCAAAATAAACCACTTTGATTACAAACATTAGAGAAAGAAACACAGAGCGTTAGAAGCTAAACAACACGTTCTAATCCCCTATATTACTGATTTTCGATAGTGAAATTTCTCTTACTCCATCATATAATCAATAAGGCAAACTAAGGTAATAGCATAAATTGCCGTCCAATGACACTGAAGGTAGACTATTTAATTGTTTAAATATCATAACATTTCGATAATGCAGTGAGAAGACGAAGGTTATCAGGTTTATGTGGTTTGTTTGCTCAATACATTTTGGACAACTTGATCACACGTATACTTGTTAAGACTTTTTATATGAAAATTAAAGATCAACTAGACAAATTAAAAGGTAAGCGGCAACAAAGATAGTAATAAAGTGCACACAAATAATGTGGAAACCACTCTGGATAATAAATCAGTATTACCAGGGTAGGTTAAAGGTAAGATCAAATTGTTTTTGAACACATAAAAGGAGTTTCAGTTTCTGTATAGCCGAGGCTTCAATAAACCTTAGTATACGCCTTTGAAGGTTTTTGTACATAGCTACAAAGGCTGACTTCATATTAATCTTATGATCGGTCTCAACCAAATGTTTCGCAATGGAGGGAGATGTTTGCCAATCCTGCGATCTTATTTGACCGTTGGAATTCATTTGTTTTTGCAGCCATTTAGGTATATGTTCAGCCACCCTTACTTGTAGATCACGATTTCTTCTCTCTATGTACGTGTTTCGGTACATACACGTGAATTCATAAACAGAAGGGGATCTGACACAATCACTTACTTGCCGTTTGGGTTTTTGGGGAAATATAGACCTTGTCTTTTCAAAAATGACGGGTTGGGTTGCATAAAATGTCCTTTTGATGGCTAATTTAAGTTTCCGTTCCAACATGAGACTATTTGAGTCACCTCTAAAGGGTAACACGATGTAGAATCGCTTTCTAAGTTCCAGAAGCGTCATAGATCACATCGTATTGAAACCTTTCCAACGGTTTATAAACTTTAATGAATAACCGTTATTCATTAATGTTTCAGATAAGAGCTTCGTCTCTACTTCAATAGTATTACCAGCACAAATATCATTGATCCTAATGAATAAGCCCTTTATTAATCCACGTTTGTGATAAATTAAAGCCTAGGCTATACAGAAACTGAAACTCCTTTTATGTGTTCAAAAACAATTTGATCTTACCTTTAACCTACCCTGGTAATACTGATTTATTATCCAGAGTGGTTTCCACATTATTTGTGTGCACTTTATTACTATCTTTGTTGCCGCTTACCTTTTAATTTGTCTAGTTGATCTTTAATTTTCATATAAAAAGTCTTAACAAGTATACGTGTGATCAAGTTGTCCAAAATGTATTGAGCAAACAAACCACATAAACCTGATAACCTTCGTCTTCTCACTGCATTATCGGGATTTATCAAAGGGACTACCTGTTTTAAATTTCATAACATTATAAAACGTTGATGACTAGATCACCAATTGATTACTTAATAGTCGAGATTTTTTCGGGCAACCTCAATGCTTTAATAATGTAGGTGAACAAGAATCTGTAGAGAGAATTTCACGATTAAAACAAAAACTACACAAAGTGCTCTGTGAATTCAAGCAATTTTCGAAGTTATTTAAATTTGAAAAAAAATATTCATACGTTCACATAATTGTAAATACAGGAATGATGACTTACTAATGGCTGACTTATCCAACCATATTCCTGATTTTCTGTTTGAGGTTCGATATATTTCTTTGGTGGTTCCAAAGAAGCGCGTTGTATAACTTCCGCAAAGTGTTCTGAAAATATGTTTGGCAAATAAATAGAATATTTATCAGTATGAGTATTTAGCTGCAATTTCTCACTAAAAATTAGTTTATGTTGGTTTCTGAGTTACGGTTTGGTCCTTTACCAAGAGTATGAAACACCAGAAGGTATCATCAGTTTCAGTTTAGCAAACAATTAATCATAAAAAAACAGATCGTAAAATGGGTCATGTAAACAATTTCATCTTTAAATAGAAACATTGATAGAGGGGTTTTATAATTTAGGTTTTGCCACATCAATAACTATCTTTTCAAACTCCTACATTTTTAAGTGCAATTAGTTTGACACCAAGTATACACTTGATCAAGTTGTATAAAGGTGTTAGTGAATAGCACATACACATCTACTGTAAAACTACCTTAGAAATAACTCAACACAGTTATCGTAATAACTCTGATTAGGATCTCTTTTTTAATTAATGCCTTGACACTAGTTTCTTCAAGAAAATAGCATCCACCAAACACGTGAGCGAACCACCAGCAAGTCATTTACATTACTTGTAGAGGAATCACATGTTTCATTTGCGCATGTGGGTATTTATAATAAGTTTTCTGATATGATTTTAAAATACTAATCCTACGTTACAACAAATGACTAGGTAGGAGAGCATATATGGGGGATATATTGTGTTTATATTAACTAAAAAATAAATTTACACTTTACTAGACTGAAAGTCAAGCGATAGCACTGATTTGGTGTCTGATCAAAATCCGATTGAGATTTATCATATTGATCATAAATATCAAAGTAAATTATTCATTAATAATTTTGAAAAAGTAGGATATTAACTTTTTTGGAAGACTAGGGCATAAATAATTAAAATAATATAGTATGTGAAGTAATACAAGTCACAGAAAACATAGGGACTGTTAAAACCACCAAAAAATGACAGCTATTACGATAAATAATAAATTAAGGATTGTTATCCCTTCTGACGAGTTGTTATTCAGTCTGAAATAAATCTGGAATTGGTTTCAAAGTTAAGCTTCACGAAGATTTTTCAAGAGTAAAATTAGGAACTAATCATGAATAAACTTTTCTAAATAAGTATTTTTAGAAGACATAAGTAAACGTCTACGTTCTTTAAAACAAATATATAACATTTTAAGGAGTTACAGAATATCAGTTATGCTTCATGGTGAGACTGTCTGTCATTCTTACTTAAGAAATATCACTGATCTATAAGTCTTTATAGCTAAAGTGTGATATCCATCATTAAAACATTTATTTTGTCCAGAAGTTACTTAAATACAAACGGGACCTGATTTTAATTTCCCAAGGAGGACAATTGATTTAAACCACGTTTCATTCAAAACGCTGACTTCTTTTCTTACTAAAACTTGACTTTATGTCTGAAAAAAGCTCTTAGACGACATCAGATAAGGTGAAAGCTGTAATAATTTCCTTCAGTGTTAGTTTTCCAAATGTTTGGCTTCAAAAGGTGATTGGGTATTCTACCGGTGTCAGGATCATAAATATCTAATACTATTCCTGAGCTAATATATATTTTCAGCAATAGATACCTCCATAAAGTAAACAATTCAGCATGTATTTAACACCTGACACTGGTTTTGTGTGATTTCAATAGGACAAAGTAACTGAAAATGTGGTCAAGCACTTACATTGTTCATTACCCAGAGGTAAACTCTATGTTTCTCGTTCACTACCCCTGTCTTGTCACCTAAACCATTCTACCTTGACTAACATCAATTATGACACAAATATACTCTTCCATCTACATGTTTATTGTTTCTCCTTGGTAATTATATGTTTGGTCTTTATGAAGTATCGGGATTTGATACCTTATGAGTTCTGTACTAGAGTCGCTGGAATCTACTTAACTAAACCTATTAAGTATGCTAACCAAAAGAAACACTGAAATACGAATAGAACAATATGACCATGAAAACAAGATACTATCTATTGACTGAATATACCGGTATCTTGTGGTTACATATTTAGTTTTTATGAATCATTCAAACCGTTGGGAAATTTGCTCAGGGCCTCTATTAATTTAAAGTTATTCACAAACTTACTGTCTTCAGCATCAGCTTCTTGTATTCTATTTGGTTTATCAGCTAAGGGATACACTAGCAAATTATAAAATATGTGAAATCTTACTTTTCTTAAAAGGATTGATACTATATTCCGTGAATATTTTTTGATGCCTCAACTCTTTTTTAATAGTTTCGTTCATAATAACAGCCTGGTGTACATAGTTAGGAATCTTATTATTGCTGTTGTCAGACATGTTGAATCCTGTGGAGAATAAAAACGTAAAATGCGTAAATTTATTTACGGCACCTTTTTCGTATACGGTACATATCATAATATGACTGAGTGATCCCTGACATTTTGGAAATTGGTGGTTAGTTTCGTCATTTTTTAGTGCTACCAACCGACCAAAGTTTCTAGTTCTCAAGATGTTGTAAACTAACTTTAGCGCCAATGAAAAAGTCTAGGTTATCCCACTAAATAGATAAAACACTTCCTAAAACCAGACGTAAACTTACGTGATTTATCCAGAGTTTTCTGTGAATGTTTTGTGGCTGTTTCTATCAAAGTCTGGTTCAAAAAAGATCATCTTAAAAGTTTCTGGATGTTTTTATGATATAAAATGGTGGTTGGAACTCATAGTCCAGTAATCAGATTCATGCTATTTGCGAGAGATCACTAATAAATTCCGAATAAAAGCTAACAGCCTTTTCATTAACATAAACTAGAGAAAAAAGGCAGGATATGAACTCACTATTCCGTTTCATACGCCCTATTAATTATGTTGTGCATTTAGAATATAGGGTGACTTGAAACTGTTTGAGAACCTGACTTTATATCCTTGTTATCTTCAAACTTGAGTAAAGGTTTACAAGAGGATGGTAAATCTTTAACCCCAATTTTGTAACAAAGCATTTTTGCGTATTCTGATAAGTATTGTCAAAGCCGAACAATCCTTAGAATTTCGATTTTTCGTACAACCTCTAAAGTTAATCAGTAACGTTCAAACTATTCTAAGTGATCTGCAAAAATGTATAAATGATTTGGAGGGATTTGTACAAGTTTTGAAACAAAACCGAACCAGTGCGCCATGCTCTGAATGCTACTTAATAGTCTTAATAATGGCTTGTTTAGAACAGAGTAACCTATGGTAGAGATCTGGTATGTATCTAATTGATAATTGAAAATACGAAACCTTCCCTTCATGACCCACATAGGTTTGATCCACTTAATAGATAAGTGATATTTGATGGTTATAATGACAATCAATTTTTTACACCACCATTGTCAGATTCAAGTGCCCATATATATCCAGCTATTAAGTTTTTATTTACAACTCAATCTGCCATATAACTAGTTTTATCAAATGAGATAGGACAGCGCAATTTCACATATATTATCGTATACACCAGGAAAAATAGAAATTACTACTGAGAAGACAGTTTATCAAAGGGAAGATTTGGTTGTTGGTGTATACATGGTGGAATCATACATAAATGTACTATTTTAAGCTACAAAAGTCCAGTCTAGTCATGTGACTATCAAAAGTAAAAATTCAATTATATTGATTTTCTTCGGCACGGTAAAATGATTGATCACGGACTCTAATCGATATACTTTCCTACTTATCATTTTCTGTCTAACTAACTACATTGTTTTCCCTGAACAATAAGGTTTGCTGGTAGATAGGAACTACTTCAGTTCATTATACTTCAACACAACCAACTCAGATTAAACTAGTCCAATAAGATTTTGCGTTATTTCATGATATTACAACCCGGGCTAACTTCATTCTAGTACATTGATTGGCCATCCTAATACAAGTCATAATGGGCTCAATATAATTTTTTATCCTTTAGGAGCTAGACGGTAATATAATCTTTGGACCCACCCCGATCTCCTTATTTCGGGTAAAACTTTGTCCGGGTTGGGTGAATTTCGGGGAAACCGTTATAGAAAATTTTGAGGAAATAGAATAAAAGTTCCAAAATTTCCCCAGGTTAGGAGAAAATCTCCAAAATGTCTAAGGGAATCTTGAGATTTTCACAGAATCTCATAACACTTAGGGTTTTTCCCTAAAATTTCCTCAATTTTTGAAGAAAACTACCAAAGTTACCACGACTTTGAGGAAATTTCAAGATTCCCCAAAGTTTCCCTAAAATATGTAGATTAGGAGGGTTCATGAGATCGTACTATTCATACATGATTATTGACAAACATGGTATTTGACTCGCCGCTATAAAATCCTCTTACTTTTGATAAAATACCTTAGCTCAAAATTGTACCAAGCACTTTGTAACCATAGTGAGTAATACCTAAGTAGCAATTTTAAGCTATAATTATTCTTAAAATTTAAAGACGATTCTGTACAGCGTAAACAAATATTTTGAATTTTTGCGTCAAGTGGTAACTATGCCTCAGTTGTTCAAATGAGTTCAAATGGTTCAAAAGGTTGTGGACGGAATAGAAGAAGCTTTCGCTAAACAGGCTTCCGTGTCTAGTAGCAGGGGATCACCAATACTTCCAGGCAGGGACCTAGGTATATTCACTATAATAGATTAAAAAAAAAAATTGGTAAATCATAGTAAGATACTATCCTTAGTCCTTAAGAATAGATCAAGTCGCCTCTTAAAGGACTCCTGGCAATTTGCTTGAACTAGCTCAGCTGGCAGAGAATTCCAGCATTTGACAACTCTTAAGGAGTAGAAGTTGTGCCTGCAGTCCGTTCTACTATGTTGTATCTCCAATATCTGGATGTTACCCCTTAGGTTAGTGTTGAGACTAAGCTTAAGTAGGTGTTTAAGAGGGTGTTCAGAAGTGTTAAGGATACTGTAAGCTACTAGAAGGTCACCTCTAAGACGCCTATACTCTAATGGATAAAGGCCAATTGATTGGAGGCGCTCTTCATAAGGTTTAAATTTGAGTCCCCAAACTGATTTCGTGGCTCGCCGTTGGATACGCTCCAGAGTGTCCTTATCCTTTTGGAGTGTAGGAAGGAATACTCTAAATGGGGACGAATAAAACTATTGAAGATTATGTGGAAAGTTCTCCCATCAAACTGACCAAAAATGCGCTTCAATGTTACCAGTGCAACGTTTGCTCGTAAGTCATTTTTGTCAAAGTTGTCGTAAGACTTTAAGTCGTAGGGCACCAGCACTCCTAAATCTTTTTCGACTACTAGACAGGAGTTTCCCAAGTTGTAACTGTAATCTGTGACGTGTCGCAGATGGACTACTTTACACTTTGGAGTGTTAAAGGTAAGTCCGTTGTCGTCTGCCCAACTTTGAAGTCGAGTCAGATCCTCCTGAAGTGCCTGTATGTACTCTTGGTTGAGTATCTCTCTCCAAAGTTTCACGTCATCGGCAAAGAGCAATATTTCTGACGTTACCTGTTGAGGAAGATCATTTATATAAATCAGGAAGAGAAGAGGTCCTAATACTGAGCCCTGGGGGGACCCCACTAGGACATTCCATAGCCTGTGATAAATTGAAGTTTACCCTGACCTTAAAATGTCGATTTGTCAGATATGAACTGAGCCAGTCAATTAAAGGTGGTTTGACACCTAATTGTTTGAGCTTGTTAATAAGACATATGTGGTTAACCCTATCAAAAGCTTTAGAGAAATCAAGGTAAATGATGTCCACCTTCCCCTTGCGATCAACGATGCTTGTCCAGCTGTCCACCTCGGTCAGCAGGTTCGTCATACAGGAGTAACCCTTCCTGAAACCATGCTGTTGGGGTGAGAAGAAATTTAAGGACAACAGATAGTCGTGTATACCATCGTACATCAGGGACTCCATGATCTTTGAAGGTATAGAGAGAAGAGCCACCGGTCGGCAACTTGAAGGTTCGCTGCGTCGACCTCCTTTGAAGATTGGTGTGATATGAGCCAGCTTCCAATTTTCCGGTAGTTTGCCTCGACTTAGCGAGTGTGAGAACATCATGCTAAGTGGTGTTGCCAGGATTGAAGTTGCTTCTCTAAGTATAGCAGAATGGACCATATCTGGACCAGGAGAATTGTCGGTTCTTAGGTGTTGTAGTTTTCGGAGCACCAAGTCAGCGTTCAGGTTCACTTCGGAAAGTCCTGTGCAGTTGCAGATAAAGCCGTCATCAGTATAGTTGATGTGGGTCGGTTGAAATGTCCTGGGGTTTCGCTCAGCCAGAAGGTTAGCGGCGTCACCGTCGTTATCGTTCGGGCCATTAGGACCTAGCAGTTGAGAAACTCCAGTTTTGGCCTGACGAAGAGAGGCTGCATAACGGAATAAGCTTTTCGGATTGGAAATAAATTTATCCATAAGCTTTAACTGGTACTGAAGTCTGTCTTCTCTTATAGCCTTCGTACATATGTTCCTTATATGTTTGTATTGCCTGTACTCGCCATTGTTGTCGGTTCGTTTGTATTCTGCCCAACAGTGCCTTTTACTGTTTAACAAACGAAGAGTGCGGTTTTTGATGATTGAAGGTTGCGTGTGGCTTTTGGGGACCGTTTGAAGAACTGACTGCTTTGTAGCACGTAAGAGCATGTAAAGTAAGAAGTCCCAGTGAGCATCCACATCAAGTTGAGGGTGAACACCCCAATCCATCTGTTGTAGATTGTCCTGTAGAGTTGACACATTCAATCGTTTGAAATTCCAGCGCCTGTTGTTGTTGATGGGACATCTTAGCTCAGTTTTGCCGACAAAACTGAAGGCTATAACGGCGTGATCGCTTTTCCCCAGGAGAGCCAGAATTGAGAGGTTGTCAACTGGAAATTCCTCATTTGTAAAAACACAGTCTAAGCGCGACAGTGTCTGACTGCTCCTCCAACGAGTTGTCAACTTCATATTTTCGTGTAGTCCCAAATCCTCAATGAGGTTGAAGAAACGAGCTTCGATTGAATTTTCACCTCCAATATACGTATGTTCCGCGAAGTTGACTCTAGGGAGATTGAAGTCCTCTAGAATCAGGATATGAGTGAAGCCGAGACGCGTGGAGCGGGATAGTCATTCCAGCATACGACTGTCGTACTCGATGTCGGCAGTGGGCTTCCTATATATGACTCTGACTAGGCACCTCGAAGTAGTGGACAAGCTCACAGAGCACCATATGGATTCCTCAAGATTGTCAAACTCATGATTGTGAACTTGGTGTAACTCCAAGCCAGATCGTATGTATAGGGCTACTACACCCCCAGTTCCTGTTTTTCTGTCATTGCGAAACAGAGACATCCCAGGTATTGCTATCTCCTGGTCTGAAGACTGAGGAGATATCCAAGTTTCAGATATTCCTATCAGATGAACTTTATTAGCATAGCTAAGTTCACGTAGCTCATCCAATTTGTTTGGTAGACTCGCGGCATTCATGTATAAGCAGTTAATGCTTTCAATTTGAAACGCGTAAGCTTCTTCCTGTTTGTCTGTGAGAGCCTTACGTGAGTGGACAGGTAACCCACCTATATAAGTTTTGTCGAATTGGTAGGCCCTGTCCTTTACACGTTTTTTTATCTTCAAGACAGTCCACAAGTGGAATGGTCAGCTCCAGCTTGCGATTGTGCTTAATCCTGGCGTCATATGGCCTGTCCGGGTGCATGTGCATCCCCGTTGGCAACCGACGTCTGTTGACACGAAATGCTTCCAGAGCTGCAGCCGCCATATGAGAGGATGGAAAAGTTATTCTCATTAGTCAGGGTCTAGGATCCCCGTCCTTCTTGGCTAGTCTGATCACATTCTGAGTCAGTACGTTTTTAAGCCTTAAGGACTGTTTGATGAATTTCCATTCCCGAATGTCAGAGTTTGCTTGACTAGGGTCCATGTTTTCTGGTACACCTTGCACGATTATATTTCTTCCGCGGATAAACTTCTCTCGAGAATCTTTAGGGATGTTCCGGATGAGATTGCGCTCAGAATACGGTATGTCGGACAGTATTCTGACGTTCTCATCGGATTTCAGTAGATGACTAGCTAGCAGGATATCCGCTACTTCGGTAGCATTCTTGAGTGTTATACGAAGTAGTCTCGGGTGATTTTGATGCTTACATTCCTTTCCCCGAGTGAGCCGTGTGACCGTCAAAGGCTCTATTCTAGGAAGTTCGAGCTTTTTGTCCAGTTCACCCCAGAGCATCCTGTCGTTTTTGTCTTGCAAACTGAGAGGAAATTCAGGGTTGTCTATGAGGTTCATGATTATGAGAGAGTCGTCACGGACCGTTGTTGCTTTCCCAGGTTTTCCGGTGCGTCCAGGTTCAGTACGTTGTTGTTTGGAGGTCGAAGCAGGTTTCTGAGTCTTAGGCTTTTTGATGATCGGGCGGAAGTTTTTGGGGATAGACTGAGCGATCAAATCACCAGTTGATGTCCGTACAAAACTTGAGATGTTTAGCTTAGACGGTGACATCTGGTCCTTTTTAGCTCTGTTGGCGTGGGTGCAGTCGCCTGCATTTTTTGGGAACCACTGTTGCGTTTAAGGACCCTGAGCTGGGAGATCCAAGTCTATTGAGGGAGTCAATTACCGTCGACGTAATCATGGTGCTGAGTTTCAACATTTCATCATTAGTGCTAATGTGTGTTCCATCGATGGTTGACTTTTCGACATCCCTATTCTTATTTTCGTTGCGCGCCCTTGTTTGTCTACCTATTTTGTGGCTATCTGTTTCCAAGTTCACTGACAATTTATTCCGCAGACCTGTCAGTAGAACAATGATGTTGCTCAGCAGTACTACAGCATCCGTGCTGCACGTAACTCAAAAAAAAGTAATCTACCGAACTTACAGCTCAAAATAGATTCTTTAGATTAGAAATGGTACTTGTGTTGCGTAAGAACACAGCAAAAGTTTGAGAAATGCAAACCACGTTAGGACTAAACCTCCCGTTAGAAAAGCGCGTTGGACGGTCTGGACGGAATAGAAGCTTTCGCTTAAAGAGCTCTCGTATCTATTAGCAATGGATCACCAATGCCTTTAGTTAGGAACCTAAGTATATTTAACGATAAAAGAGCTAAAAAATATTTGTAAATTCCCAATCTCACTATTTTGGGTAAATTTTGGGGAACGTCGGGTAAACTTGGGAATTTTCCACAAAGTCGTAAGAAATATGGTAGTTTTCCTCAAGGCTCTTGGAAGTATTGGGGAAAACTCAAGATTTCCTCAAGTATTTTGGGGATTTACACCAGACCTGGGGAAATTTCGGAATTTTCGTGCCATTCTCCCAAAGCATTCTATAGCGGTTTTCGCTAAATTTACCCAAACCGGACGAAATTTTCCCCGAAATAGGTAGATTGGGTTATAGAGAGACACTGTTCTTAATCCTGAATAATATATCACGTTTCCTGTCAAAGGACCTCTGGGAAGTCGCTTGAGCTAGCTCAGCCGGTAGCGAATCCCAAATTTTGACTACGCCTAAGGAGAATAAGGTGTGTCTACAGTCCATTCTGATATGTTTTGTCTTTAATTTCTGGGTGTTATCCCTAAAAATTTTTGTTGGGACTGAGCTTAAGTAAGTTTGTTGAAGCATACCCAGAATTGCTTAGGAGTCTGCAAGTCATTAGAAAGTCACCTTTGAGATAGCCATACTCTAATGAGCGAACGTTCAGTGATTTG